CACCCCCCCACCGCCCCCGGCCCCCCCCCCCCCCCCCCCCCCCCCCCCCCCCGCCGCGCGCCCCCGCCCCCCCCCCCCCCCCCCCCCCCCCCCCCCCCCCCCCCCGCGCCACTTGCGCGAGACAGCCAGACGGTCCGCGGGCGAATTCGCAGGTTCATGAGGTAATAGACAATGCGGCTCTGGAGATAATCCTGAATGCGGTTGATGATAACCTGCTTGCCAACGTCCATGATCTTCAAATATGTCAAGTCGTCCTCATCGCCATCCTCGTTGATGCTCTTGTAGGCCTTCTCGTAGTTGCGGATCCGGTTGCGGAAGTCGAGCGCCGCGGCCTCTGGATCCTTGCCCTTGTAGTCCGGGCTGGTGGTCTTAACATCGCGGATGTTGGCAAGGATTAGTTCCTCGTTGTCGCATTTCGACTCGACGAAGATGACATCGACCCCGGCCTTTGCGACCTCATCCATGACCCACTTGCGACGCTCCTTGGTGCTGTTGGTGGCATCCAAGATGCCGACGATTCCTCCATTCGCAAACCACTTCAGCATGTCGGCCACCGCAGCCTCGGCGGCGGCTCGTCGTTTGCGCTCGCCCTCGGGATTGTTTGTGTCAAAGAAATCGGCTGTAGGTTGGGGGGCACTGTTACGCCGATAATTGCCGACATTGAAAGTCTCGGCAGGAATGTCGAGCCATCGAAGGTACCGCTGGGCTGGGAATCGGGCAAAACTGGTCAGATATCGTACCACGCTCCCGGGGGAGAGCAGGATCTAGGCTCGAGCATCTCTCAGCTTACCTCTCTGCGCGATATAGCTCTTTCCACGGGCCGGCAGCCCAACCATGACCACACAGACTTGGGTATCCTCGACCTGGATCCCTACGCCATTAATCTTTCGGGGCATTTTTGCGGTGTTATCAAGGCGCAGGCGGTGATTTTGGGTAGTAACGAAGCATGGAACAAGTCGAAGGAAACATGTAAAAACGGAATTGACTCGAGATGCATGCGAATTCGAGGGTGAAGACTGCTCAGATGCTTCGGGACGAGAGCCCAGCCCGGTTGTGGAGCTGCTGATTTGCTGCCAAGCCTTGACAGCAGCAGGCGGCTTTGAAGAGAAGTACGGATCCGCAGGTAGTTTGGAAATACGGTAAGGAGAGATCTAATAGGCAAGGTAGCTAGGTACGGTACCTATTGTCGGCATCTAGAAGAATCCAATAAGATGAAGAGCGTCAAAAGTCCAAGTTGCTGGAGGGGGAAGTCCCGAGGGGAAGCCAAAGATAAAAAGATAATGACGACCAATGGGTCAGAGCAGGAATCATGCATAGGCCTCCGTCGTATCGGGAATCTCAGGGCTGAAATTCGGGCAGGCAATAGCCAAGGCCACTAGTCTAAGAGCCGACCCGAGCTGGGACCCCATTCACCCCCAAAGACTCACCCCGCACACCCACTGGTTCCATGTTTGGTGGGCTGTTGCACATCTGATGGAACAAACGTTGAACCCCACTAGCTCTTACCCGGCTCCGGGCCATCATTTGTGCTGCCCAAGCCGTTGGCCCGGACCGTATTGGACCTGGGAGTCAAAGCCGAGGCTCTTTGGCCGGGGCCGAGAGAGCCCACGGAAAATCAGAATGAACTTGGTTTGGGGCTGTGTGGCTTGACTCGACCCTTTAGAGATTTTATGTAAACTTGAGCCTTGCAGAACCCCCTTGGGCTGCAATTCGAGAATTGCCGCTCTCCAAGAGGTGTGGGCAGATTGGTCACCTGGAACGCTGTGTCTGCTGCACGAACCCCAAGCAACAAGACTAATATTAATAAGGACAGTCAAATGGGTGCGTTGAAGACACAAAATAAGCCATTTTTTGCTTTGCTTTGTCCGTCATGTGACAAGATTTAGTGATCATCAGGTTCCAGACAGCTGCAGCCTGTCACTGCAAGCCAAGGGGGATAAGCCGGCATCTGAATGGACGCTTGTTTAAGGGCAGGAGCCCGGAATGCCGGAATTCTCAAGACCCTGAAAGGAAGTCAAAGCAGAGTAACGAAGAACTTCTCAGCTCACTCTCAGAGGCAGCGCAGCGCAGCACAGGGGTTTTTTTGGGGCGGGAAACTCGGCATTGCGGCCCAGCTGGCTGGGCAGCAAAAAGTCTGTACTTGGCAGGCACAGTCATGGGATTCCACGATATTTGCGCCAAATACCACCCCAGAGAGACAACGTGACTCCCACGTCAGGGCAATGCTGCAATAGCCCGCTCCTTCATTCCTGGTTGAGCCATCGCGTCTTTGAAGTTGGCCACGTGATGGGGTAATGGAGATTGGCAGCTGTTCGTCAGGGCCTGGACTCGTTGTGCCTGGGCTTAAAAAGGCTGGACCAAATAAGCGGGAAAAGGCGGCATAGAGTTGCGGGGCCCGGTCCGGGTGTGCTGATGACGATAAGGATAAGGCCAGATAGGCGATAAGCCTGACTGGCGGTTATGTACGGAATATGGTGCTGCCAATTGATGTTTCCCCCCTTATTTCGTTTCGTCATGTTTGTCACCATACCGGCAGCGCGATGCAGAAAACCATTGGTCAGGCACCACCATAGATAGGATTTAATTGCTTGGCCCGGGACCGAATATGTTGAATAAGGGTCCTGGGCCTATGGGAAACGTTCCTGCCTACATTGAAACCAGCAGAAAGAAAAGCCATGGGGGACTACCGATACATATATTCGACAAGCAAACCTTCCCATCCCAGATAGCCATATCTCCGCACGCCAAAGATCAAGACAGAAGTTGGATTGGCAAAGCAGTCCTACAACTTTTTTCAGCCCATGCCAGGCCGGCTTTCACCAGCTCGGCCCACCCGACCGTCCCGGGACCCTAACCCTCAGCACACGTCGTACGTCGGGATGTCGTTGCCGGCACGCACGAAGCCCACGTCCCACTGCGGCGAGTCCTGGCCGACGATGGTTCCGGCCTTGCCGTCGGAGACGCACAGGAACTCGACCGAGTCCAGCTGGCTGCCGATGAAGTCGGTCGTGGTCGCCAGCGTGTCGCACAGCGAGCAGAAGTAGCCCAGGCACGTCTGGTAGCTGAAGGTGAGGCAGGCGTTCGTCTGCACCACCAGCGTCTGCTTCGTGCTCTGCACCTGGCTTACTATGGCCTGGCAGTCCGCGTCCTTGGGTGCGGGGCTCTATGCATGGGGTCAGCCCACATTCTCTGGTCTGGGTCTAGAGCAGGTAGTATGTCTGGGAAGGGCAAGGGGCGCCAGAGGGAGCGTTGAGAGAAGGGGCTCGGCTCACAGAGTTCTGGCATTCGTAGAATTCCTGCTTCGCGAGCTGGCGTTGCAGTAGCCGCAGAGTGCGGAGACTCTCGCGACGGCGGCGTAGGCCGGCATCAACCAGTCCCGGGGTCACTTCCCTGAGCTCAGACGTAGAACGCTTGTGCGCCACGTAGGCGGTGCCAACCTCATATTCGGCGGGCGCTCCGTTGGGCTTATTTGCCGCTGTCAAGGGGGAAATTTCACTGGTCTTCTGCGGCCGGGAAGCCCTCCGTTGTGTCCTAGGGCTGTCTTGCCGTTTCTCGACCTCGGAGAGCTCGAGTGCGACAGCGAGGCCAAAGAGGAGAGTTAGGAAGAAGAACAGCTTCATGTTGCAGGGAGCGGAAGGGGCAGCAGTAGTAAAAGGTAGAGTTCGTAGTTCTCGGCAAGAAGAGCAAGGGGATTGCTGTGGATCAGCAAGCCAAACGACAGGAAGTTTGCGCTCCTTATATTACTTCTGCCGGACCCTTCCCCAGCCATCCTGGCAAGTAATTTTAGATCCGGTTCGATATATTAACGTGGCCTAGAGCGTCATCAGAAAGGAAGGTCGTGATGAACTCGAAATTGACGTTGACACGCGACGTTGGACACCGTAAGCAGGAATAAATGATGCTCATCTTGAGCATCATTACTCCACAGTGTTGGACACAGCTTGCTTCCCGCCTCGTCAGCCAACTGCGCCAATCAAGGTGAACTGTTGATGGCACGATACCACGTCGTCTCGGGCTGAGCCGTGTCTTCCCCCCTCTGAGGTGCCATCAGGCCACCCAGAAGGATCCCGCAAACGCGGCAGTGAAGTTGCCCAGGCCATCTTCCATCTGGAGAGGATATGGAGAGAGAGGGGCTTGGCTTGGGCGTTCTCCTTGCCGCGCCCGCGCATTCCAGCTCGGCCATTCACACCTCTTCGTCCAACGGTGCGACCCAATGATATCCAATGATATCCAATGGCGGTTCACCGCCAGGCGCAATGCACTAGTGGCGTACTCCATGATCCCACACTTGTCGAGATCGTGAACAAAAAAAGGAATGGAGAGGATGCAACCGCAATATATACTTGCAGTAGGGGGAGAGGGGAGCCTGCCTCCAATGCAGCCATTGGCAGGAGGAAGGGAGGCGGCACGCGGCAACCTCCAGCACTTGCGCGAACCATATATGCTGTCGTCCCCATGGTCCTCGGTGTGCATCGTGTCATCGAGATCCAGGCTCTCCCCTCCGATTCCTAAACTTTGGGCGATCGACAACGCCTTGGTCATTGATGGCGATGGTGATTTTGGATGGTAGAGTCGGTTATATTTTTTGGACGTGTCCACATCGCTACCGAGCGCGCCCAGGAACCAGGAAACAAATGAGCGGAGTACCGTTAGGCGAGGGGAGGCTCGAGTACGGTTTCCCGGATTCGCTGTGGGACGGAATATTAGAGAGCGGATGGGTTTTACCGGCCATTTACCCACCGTCGTGGGGATGACACAGGGTGCGAACTCCGGGCGAAGAACAACATTAATATTAACATGGTAATATAGTGCTTCGATAAAGCTTCTTGGACCCCCGGTCACGGAGCTGGAATGGAACGTTGAATTCGTGATTCCTTCAACGATCTTCTGCCAACGAGACCGGGCAATGTTGAATCCTTCGAAAATTCGCTGACTGTACGGCAGCTTACTCCTGCAATGCAGCCATAGCAGCCTCCAGCTCCAGAGCAGAGCCTGGGGTAGAAGGGTTTCTCGTCCTGAGAATCTTCTCCAGGTGAAGTTGACAGAGAGGGGTTCAAGTTCTTGGCAACTTTGAGTGGTCTGGCACCAGACACAGGCAGGGTGGCGCGGAAAGCCCATGATCCGGGACAAACAATAGAACTCAGCACCTCAGTCAAGAAGACACAACGGAGACTCAGTGGCCGTGTCTCTGGGCTGCCGGGCATCGGTGATTACGCTCTAGTTGGCGTCCTCTTCGGCTCCAGATGCATGTCTGAGCGGGTCGAGCCAGCGGTTGATGCTGCTCCCTACCTTCCAATGTGTCAGTGGAAAGACACCTCATTGGCGTCTGGCTGGCCAAGGTGTGTCGTGCAATTTATTTGCAAGTGGGAGAGGCCTGACAAACACTGGACACATGCCCTGGTGTTGAAGAGCTTGCCAGCTTGGATGGGGGGTCACTTTGACCTGCAGCCAAGCGGGACGGATAGTAAGGATTCGATGCATGCCGTATTAAGTATTGCTCCAGTGGGGATGACCCTTGGTTGCTGCCTTTACCTCTTTTTGCCGTTCACTCGTATTATGTCTGTTTCTCTGGATCACCCATCCTCACATCTCAGATGGATGCCTAATATGCAAGGTCCTTGCCCGGCCCGGGCATTGCAGGGATTCATCGGTAATCGGCAGGACGTTTCACCGTCTGAAGTTCCCCGCACATCGCCAAATGCCAAGACCCCCACTCGTGGTCAGTCCCACTCTTTTGGGTTAACGAAAGTGGGGGCAGAAGTTCAACGTCCAAAGACGTGCATGACATCAAATGAGAGCCTGCTGATTTGCAGTCATCGAATTGTACGCGCAATGCCTTAGCTGAGGTTAAACGCTAGAAGCTGATTCCACTGTTCTCACATTTCCATCTAGGCTAGGCGACCTTATTGGACCTGTATCGCGGGGAACTTCTGACAGAATCCCGAGAACAGAATGTAGAGACGTTATGACTTCCAAAAAATACTGGGATATCTCTATTTTCGACTGAAATATACACGGAAGAATGTCAAGCTAGCTCCAATGACTATTATTTATATGCTCCGTCGCTCCTCCGTACCGCGCTACTTCCTCCTTCCTCCCTACGGCTTCGTAACCTCGTCCTTCCACGCGTCCTTGACCTCGTCCCAGAACTTGTCCCCATTCTCCTTGTCGTCGGCAAAGAGGTGGTCGACGACCATCTTCTTGGGCGTCTGGCCCATCCACTGGAACAGAGACAGATCCCTGAACTCAGAGGTGCGGAAGATCTCCAGCATCTCCACGGGCTCGTCGCCGATGTTCTCGACGAAGTGGCCCATGTTCTTGGGCACGATGCCCACGTCTCCAGGCATGTAATCAAAGGTCCGGGCTGTGCCCTTCGAGCCAAAGATTGTCACGCGCGCGCGGCCCCGGATGAAGTAGGACCACTCGTCAGCTGTCGGGTGCCAGTGCATTTCCCGGAGTGCGCCTGGCTCAATGATGACGTGGGCAGCAGCGATCGTCTTCGAGATGGGAAAGTTGGTTGAGTCGGTAATACGGACCTGGTTTTGAAACGTCGCATTAGCACCCTCCATTGAGATACAGGGGAGGTGGCCTGGAATGGGAGTTAGTTTTAGCCTACCTGGCCGCCAGTTGTCTCCTTTGGCTCTTGATCCAGCATTTTATGGGTGAATTGGTGCTTCGACTTCTTGGCCCCCCTGCCGCGCGGCCGCTCCTCGTCGACGCTGCCTGGCAGAGTCCCCTGGAAGATGTACTTCTCGTCCTTAGGAACGTGTTCGAAAACCTCAGGGGCGAGATGGAAGTTCTTCGCAATCACGGAACGCGGCGTATGGGCTGATATCGAGTCAGCTTGCTGGTTTCCATGCAATCTTAATCATGGGTGAGTTCTTACCAAACCAATCTGTCAGGATGAATGTCGAATCCTCGGAAAAGTGACCGTCGTCGAAGACCAGAAGGAACTCGGTGCCATTGGGGCTGAGACCCTGCAGGGAGTGAGGCACTCCGCTTGGGAAATACCAGAGGTCGCCCTTCTCGAGGTCGTCGACAAAGTTGCCGCCTTCATAGTCAAGCCCTGTGATGCGGACCTTGCCTTCCAGCACATATGCCCATTCGGCTTCCTTATGCCAGTGCAACTCGCGGATAACGCCTTCCTCGAGGCGCATATTTACGCCTGCAAGTTCAATGCTTGTGGGGAGCTCTCGGATTGTCGTCTCGCGAGTCCAGCCACCTTCCTGGAAGACAGCAGGTCAGCCGGGGATGAACCTCCAACGAGTCCGGGGCTTAAGGGAGAAACTTACCTCGATTCTGATGTGAGAATCGACAAAGCTCCATCGCATATTCGCCATACTACCTTTGTCCGTGCTTGGCGGGCGTACGAGATCCGGACCCTGCCTGGCACGGTCTCTGTTCCAGGGGCCGAGAACCGAAGCGCCCTCGCCGTTGCGCCATGGCAGAGGGTCTAGCTTTTCGCCAACGGCGTCGATGAAGTGGTCGAGGGGATCCTCATTGCCCGGCGTGTAGGGCGGTGCCTCCTTAGAGCCCTTGTATGTGTTGTATTTCGGCGGCAGGTCCAGGCCCAGCAGCAGGCGTTGGCGGGGACTATCCTCGACAGGAACGGCTGAGCACAGCTCGCACAAAGTCGCCGCGACGACGAGGAGCTTTGCCCCAAGTCCACCAGTTGCGTGGAGATGCATGGTCCAGACGTTGATGTCCAGGACACAAGGACGCACAGGACAACTTTCAGATGCTACGATTCTCAAGAGCTTGGGGAATCCGAAAATAAGCCGGAGTAGGACAGAGAGAGTAAGAGTTGCTTGTTGGGCAAAGTTGGATTTTATACAGTCTGGAACGTCATAGAACGACGGACTGGGGGGCCCCAGATCACGCAATTGTTGGTTCCCAGCCCCTTCGACCCCTCAAGCTCGGACGGGAAGCTCTTGCCTGCAGTTGCTTGCCAAGCTCGACAGCTCAAAGCTCCAAGCTTTCTCCCCATTCTTGGACGAGTCAACTTCCCGGCTTAACCCCTTGGCATGGCGAGCTAACCCCGCAAACTAATACCGAACGATATCCGAGGCTCCTACTGCGTGGTCTTCTGTGGTTGATGAAACATGCATCGACGGTCAATGTGACGAATAAGCAAAATAGCGGGGCTCTGCAGGTCCGGGAATAGCGGAGCTGCAGCCGAGAGCTCGGGCGGAGCTCACGGATATGACGTAGATGGAAATTACTCCGGACAACCAACGTCGATCCAGGGCAAACTTTGCGAGGTAACACCGCAAACAGTCATCCAACACCAATTGAGCAAGTGCAGCCGACAAGGCACAACTTTGTGGCAAAGGGGCCGTGTAACCGAGCCCTGAGCTGAACTTCCAGGGGTCGAGGCAATTTCGAGCTTACGCAGAGGTGCGGTTCTCCGAGTCAGAGGTAATTAGCCTTGAGAAATACGTATGTATCCACGTTCAAAGAGGTGGATTGGATGGATGATGCTGAGACTCTTCACGGGCAGACAGACTAGAGAAACCTGGAAACCAAATACGGCTCCCTCCACACTTTCGACCTCGACCTCGGGACAAACATTTTCACTCCGGCCAATCCCGAACCCATTCACCGAAATCATCCCGTAGAAACCCTATAACTCGGAACGTCCTGTTAACTACTTCCATTCCTGCTTTGCAACGGACCAGTCTCCCGTCAGATCAACGATCCCAGCGGCGATGAATCGAGTCAACGGATATGGCGCCATCGAAGGCTCGGCGCCCTCCAATGGCAACGGGGCAGACGAAGAGCAGCCCCTTCTGGTCGGGAGGACTGCCAAGTCACGGACGGCCGACATTCGCCGGAAACTGATGGTCGACATCGATCGCGATTGGGCTGATGTCGTCCTGATCCTGTGTTATCTGATCACCGGCCTTCTGGACAGCGCCTCGATATCCATCTGGGGCTCGTTCGTGTCTATGCAGACAGGTATATAGCAAGACCCAGCCCCAGGAGTATAGCTGCGCCTTCGACTTGGATACTCATACGTTACGCAGGAAACACGGTCTACATTGGGCTCGGGCTCGCGGCACCCAACGAGTCGACGAGATGGATCAAGTCCGGCACCTCCCTCGCGTGCTTCTGCGTCGGATCTTTCTTGTTCAGTCGCTTCCACCGATACTTCTCGCCCAAGCGCCGATGGGTCCTCTGCGCCTCGTTTTCCTTCCAGGTTCTCCTCATCGTCTTAGCAGCCACGCTGGTGACGTTCGGCCCAAGTGGAGGAGGCGACGACGTCAGCTGGAACGTCCTGGTGCCCATCGCCCTGGTCGCCTTCCAGAGTTGCGGCCAGGCCGTCGCGAGCAGGGCGCTGAAGTACAACGCCCTCACCAGCGTCGTCCTGACCAGCATCTACTGTGACCTCTTCTCGGACGCCGACCTCTTCAAGCTGCACAACGTCGAACGGAACCGCAGGCTCGCAGCGCCGGTCATGCTCCTCATCGGTGCCGTCGCCGGCGGCCTGTTTGCGCACAGTTCTTTGGGTATAGCTGGGGCCCTATGGGCGGCGGCAGGGCTCAAACTGTTTGCCGTCATTGCCTGGGTTCTCTGGCCGGAGGACTCGAGTGAGTGAGTGGACGAAGCTTAGCTTAGTCTTGCTTTGGGCCGACTCGAAAAGGGGAGCATTACTTCATCGGCAGATATGGGGCACGCACGTGCCGTGTCCGGCTCGGGTCTGTCCGCATGTGGCTCTCTCATCAACACATGCAGCGCGGGACATATGTTAAGTGGGTACCTGTGTTCGAAGCCATGTCGGCCTTGGCAGTTCGGCAAAGTCGCTCTTCGCCCAGGCTTGGGAAATGGACCAAATACTATGGTAGTCTTGACAAAATGAATAACAACTGTTATTAGGAGCCCAAGAACGTCCCAAATCAAAGTCGAACTCGACTGTTGCTCCTACAACTTGCAAGTGCAGCATGCATGTACGTACCTCTCTAACCCCCTCTCATCCTCTCATTCCACCCCTCTTGTACCCCCCCTTTTTCCAACCCTTTTTGAGATGGATCTTCCCCTCATCTCCGTCTCGTTCCCGGAATTCCCATTGCGGGGTTCTCTAGACATCAACTCCTTCCATGGTCTCGCTTGAATCGAGAGCCACTCCTTCGCTGCCATGACATCAACGAATTACTGCAAGAGAGGGGTTAAGCCATTGTGACTTGGTTGCCCAGACGGCGGAAAAGTATAGCCCACTTACTACCACTTTGACTAGGCACTGTTACATACCTACCTACTCACTTACACGGGTCACGGGATGGCCGCATTCGAAAGCTGGGGAGTCGAGACACCCCACGGGATTGATTGCAACTCAACATGCAGTGCGATATTCAGGGCGACGTCTAATGCACGAACTCGTTGCCCCTCCCGGGTCCGATCCGATTGCTCCTTGGGCCTGGGCCTAGGCCTGTTTGCGTGTCGGTCGGTGCGATTCCAGCAATCAGAGAGTGCCCATCCCCTCAGCAACGGCGACTAAGACAGCCGACCCTCGATGCCGCCGGTGAGGAGAAACCATGCTCGCCAAAAGAAGAAGGCGCTGAGCTGAACCTTGGACACTTGGATGACGATCAGAGTTGGCAGCCATTGCCACCATCTTTCCCCGCACAACTGGCAAGAGCTAGTCAGATCTGCAGCTCATGGCCCGCGCTTCACGTCCAACCTAACGAATCCGACCGTGGCCCTGTCTCACCTAGACTGCGGTGTTGTTGCTTACTCCAGTCCGGGTCCCCGGCACCAGTTGCTAAGGATTGGCTGAAACATCGAGACTCTTATTTGATCAACCCAGTTATTCCCTGGCTATACCCCGCACTTATACCATTGAGATCTGTTCGCCATGCACCGTGATCAACCTCTCCAACGGCTGCCGTCCAATAGAGTCCTGACTGGACCCTACACACTGTCTGGTCGAGTGAATCTCACGGCGGCAACTTTGCGAGATTCGACCTTGATGCCGGGTTTGGAACACCGAATACCGAGAACCATCTGCCGGGGGGCGTCCAGGTTGGGTTGCACGTCCGAAACCATGGAGGCAGTGTGTGTTGCCCGCCAGGTCAGCAGCGTAGGAGCATGTAGAAGTTGTGGTCATTGTGGGTCTCTCGATGGACTCAAAGCCGACTTATCTTCCCAGACACCGCCCAGCCTCCGTAGGGACCCATCTTGCCGATTGTAGTCCGTAGTCCCATTCTTCTTCGGACATCGCTCACCGTTCGAGTTTAATCAAAGAGAACAAACACACAAACACAACGACGCCGTCCTCCCATCATGAAGGCTGTCGAGATAATCAAAGATGACCTGAAAAACGACGTAACCTGGAATCGAGCGGGCCAGCTGGGCGTAAAGGGGGCCCGCGCTCTTCCCAGAGCCTCGGGCCAGTATCTTGTTGACAAATTACCCATTATCGGATGGCTGCCTCGATACAACTATCGATGGCTCCTGAACGACGTGATAGCTGGCTTGACTGTCGGGCTCATGCTTATTCCCCAGGGGCTGTCATATGCCAAGATTGCGACCATCCCTGTGCAATATGGCCTCATGTCGAGCTGGCTTCCGTCCGCCATCTATTGCTTCATGGGGACGACCAAAGGCAGGTACTCCCCAGGCCGAGAGTCCCCCAGTCCTCTCCCTAAAGTACAGGCTTGTTGACAAGCGGATGTGCTGTTTGCAGACCTGTCGACTGGTCCAACCTCCCTCATCGGACTTCTCACCTCGGAAGCTGTCGAGCAGTTGAAAGATGAATACCCTCCGAGTGAAATCGCTTCGGCCGTTGCTCTCATGATGGGTGTCTACGGCATGATCATCGGCTTCCTGAACCTTGGCTTCCTCCTCGAGTTCATCTCTCTCCCCATCCTGAGCGGATTCATCTCGGCAGTGGCCATCACCATCATCCTCAACCAGATGAGCTCCCTTCTGGGCGAGTCTAATGTCGGCGACGGCACCGCGCGACAGATCCACGACATCTTCAACAAGCTTCCCGATGCGAACGGGTACTCGTGCGCCATTGGCTTCTCGGGCATCGTCCTCCTGACCATCCTCGACCATGCATATAAGAGGTGGAACAAGAACAAGATCCTCTGGTTCCTGTCCATCACCCGCGCCTTCCTCTGCCTCGTCCTGTTCACCGGCATCGGCTACGCCGTCAACAAGAACAGGGGCGACCCGTCCAACTACCTCTTCCCCGTTGCCCAGGTCCAAGCTAACGGCCAGGAGCCGCCCCGCTTCCCCAACCGCGATCTGATCGCCAAGGTAGCCGCCCGCAGCGTGGCCGTCTTCGTCGGGTCCGCGGTCGAGCACACGGCCGTAGCCCGCGCGTTCGGCGTGCGGAACAACTACGTGACGGACCAGAGCCAGGAGATCGCCTACTACGGCGTGACCAACTTTTTCAACAGCTTCTTCCATGCCATGGGGGTCGGCGGCGCCATGTCCCGGACGGCCGTCAACTCGGCGTGCAACGTCAAGTCCCCGCTCGGCGGCCTCGTCACCACGGCCATCGTCCTCATCTCCATCTTCAAGCTCGTCGGGACGCTGTACTGGATCCCCAAGGCCACCCTGGCGGCCATCATCATCTGCGCCGTGTGGCCGCTCATCTCCCCGCCCCAGGTCTTCTACCGCTACTGGAAGTCCTCCCTCGCCGACTTCATCTCCTCCATGATCGCCTTCTGGGTGACGCTCTTCGTGTCGAGCGAGATCGGCATCGCCGCCTCGGTGGGCTTCAACATCGTCTACATCGTCCTCCGGCAGGTCTTCACCCGCATGTCCTCCATCGGCGCGGGCCCCTCGCAGCAGTCGGAGCTGGCCGCCTCGATCGAGGAGTCCCGGCGCGGGATCCCCAGCAGCGGCGTCCCCGCCGACGCGCACGTGTTCCGCCTGGGCGAGAGCCTTTTCTTCGCCAACGCGTACGCCGTGCACACGGCCGTGCTGGACGTGGTCAAGACGCACCACGCGCCCGCCCACGGCGGCGCCCACGGGTCCGAGGCCGAGCGCAACTGGTCCGTGGTGGGCGAGCAGCGCGTGGCACGCCTGCGCCGGCGGGCCGGCGTGTCGGACGCCGCGGGGCTGCACCCCATCGGCCTCGTGGTGCTCGACTTTGGCCGCGCGAACCACGTCGACACCACGGCCGTCACGCACCTGCGCAGCATGGCCGCCGAGCTGAGGAAGTACGGCGGCGACGAGGTCGAGATCCGTTTCGTCGGCATGTCGCCGTACGTGCGCGAGCGCTTCGAGCGCATGGGCTGGCACATTGTAGACGCGTCGGCGATGTCGTCGTTGTCGTCGTCGGGGGACGATGGGGCGCAGCAGCAGCAGCAGCAGCAGGCGACCAAGCTGTTCCCGGATATTGCGAGCGCGGTGGCGGCGCCGAGGCGTGCGCTTGTGGAGGAGGATGTGGAGCTTAAGAAGATGGAGAGCGAGTATGGCAAGGTTACCTCGTCTCATAAGGAGAATGCGTGAGTGTTTGTAGCTCGTGGGCTGGGATGGAAAGGGGACATTTCTGGTTTTATTAGGGTTTTTTGGGGGGTTTTTTCTTCCCCCTCCTCGCCTGTCTGGCTCTTGTGTCTAGCTTTCCTGAGCTACGAAATGTATGGCGAGTGTACAGACACGCTCACACACGCTCATTTCACGAGATCATGAATGCTTCTCCTCGTCGATTCGCGTTGGATATCACCACTTTATCTACTCACACAGGGACTGTAAATACTAGGGCCATCGTCTAGAGTTAGATAGCGTCCAAGTATGTCATGTTTGATCTAGACTCCCAGTGTGTCCTCCAACTTCGTGGTTGGGCCGGTCCTGATGCCGCTTTCTCTTGTGTACAGAGTGTGCATGAGGACATCTCATGTTGCTAAATAAATTGCCAGTTGAAAGAACTCCAGATGGGGCCGCCCTGTTCTCAACTCATCAAATTGATTCATGAATTACCATATTAGTTACTACTGTGTTGTGAGACGAACTCAACTTACTCAAGCGCACTAAAATCCATTTTCATTTACAGAACTGAGGTCCGAGGTCTCAGCAAAATCATAAAATGAAGTTATTCCCTCCCGGACATGAAATCCGGGGTGGTGGCGGTCAGGGAGACTGTTCCTGTGTTGGAATCGGCTGAAGCAGGGCCACACTACCAGTAATTAGCAGAGTGTGTTGATCGAAGTTGGTCTGTGCGTCTCAGGTGCCACTTGGACTGCCAATAACGCAGGAAAGCTTACTCATCCCGAGCCTGACCTATAATATAATTTTGTGCTACTTTTCCCACATAACAACGGTCCTGTAGTGTAGAGGTTATCACGTTCGGCTTTGATCCGGACAACGCAGGTTCGAACCCTGCCAGGACCTTATCTTTTTCAGTTTTTTTTTTTATACTTGCACATTGCCCAATTCGCCCTTGTCAATCAATTCCTATATTCAACATCTCCTCGTTCTCTCTTTCCCCTTTTTTCTTCTTTTTTTCCCCCCAAAAAGTTGTTTCCAAGCTACACCAGTTGCATGTTAATTACTATAGCAAACCCTTTATGGCCATAGACCCAGAAGGATTGTCTTAGGATTGCTACTAATACTCGTGCTATCTGGCGTCTGCAAATAAATGGGAGCAACCACAGGAGATATTTATTTCCTGTCATCACATATTATCGAACTGAACAGCCTGCCCTCATGAAGCGAGCTACTACGGCGTGGCCCAAGATCAGGGTCCGTTGAGGACAGTCGCGAAATGATAATGGTGGATAAGCCAATGCCTCCGACAGCAGTACCATTGGCACTCTCCAATATCTAGACATATGAGCTGACATACGATACAGAGTCAAGTGAGTAGGCTAGTTTGCTGTCGTGTTTGTGCAGTTAATATATAATTATACACTCTATAATAACATTGACAGGATTTCGATCTGGAACTACTCATCCCATGGAGACCGTTTGATGACCCAGAGGACGTCTACGGCTATTTCCATATGCCGGGGTACCACCACGCAAGTTTCTCGACCCCCTGATTGAGCAGTGCCGCATCCTAACTTTCGTCGGGGCCAGTTCCAGCGGAAGCGAGCGCAGTTCTGGCGAGACGTGCTGGAGCGCCTGGATGACGACGACAGGAAAGACGGATTGTGAAATGTAACAAGACGACACCTGACGCTGGTGGGTGGAGAGAGCTGGAGGATTTTGTCTTGATGGGGAGAACGGGATGTGCTGGGGAAGTCATATAGAGCAGATGGTAACAAGCGGAAGACTAATATTCCGGGAGCCGGGGGACGCTGACGAGCTAAACTATCAGACACTGCAGAATCTTTTATTTCTTGCATGGTGATCCCCCATTGCTATCCATACGCTATCAAAGTGCCGTACCATGGAGGACCGTTCCCTATCTCAAAGCCGCCGTCCACAAGCTAAACGCCCAAAAAAGCTGCCCAAAACACCAGCAAATGGCAAAGTTGTCGGGCAACTCGAAGTACAGCTAGTGACGGAAACAGAGAAAGATAAAGTAGAGGTAGATGACAAGCATTATCAAAAAGCATAGACATCCCAAGCCATCGTCGTCCGTCTTGTCTTCGCGGTAGCGTGCCCCCTGCGCCTGTCCCTCCTTGGCGCTAGGCTATATGGGCAAGTCAGCTCATGTCTTGGGTAACACATATATGTTTGGATCTAGACGACAGTCATACCTGCACCTGCACCAGTTACCGCACCGGCTCCCGCACCGGCTCCCGCACCGGCTCCCGCACCGGCTCCCGCACCGGCTCCCGCACCGGCTCCCGCACCGGCTCCCGCACCGGCTCCCGCACCAGTACCTGTACCTGCACTGGTTCCTGTACTGACACTGCTTTGGGCTCATTTCCTTCCGGTGGGCCTGGATAAAGTGTGGCTAGCCTCCCGCTGCTAATTTAGGTGGAATGAGACAGGACAAAATGAAGATGCAAAAGCACCAGTGAAGGTTGGGGAAATACTAGACATGAGAAACAAAAGAAAACTAACCTCCATGAGCTCCCAGATATCATTCGCGACGTATTTGGCAGAGGTCGGGAAGCTGTAGAGCATGTCGGATATGGGGGCCTTGACCTGCTCTTGATCCAGGCGCGCAAACTCACTTCCGGTCCAGGGAATTTGCTTGATCTCATGTTGTATTTATCTGAGAGGGCCAAGATCGTCGAGGCCACGTGCTTTGAGATTCTCCATGATCCAAGCTCGAACCTCCAAAACCGAGGCATCGGATTGGGGGAAGGATTCTAGCATTGGGAGTTTCCACTTGTCCAGGGTCGTTGGGCCAACTTGGTGGATTTTGCGAGGTGCATCTGGCCCAGGGCCAGAGCCAGGACCGGTAGCACAAGTTGGGATTGCCATGCTGTGTGTGCGTGTGGTTTGTTGAGACACCTGCGAGTCGATCCGTTGTTTGTGTGAATATATTTGCCCGAGTTAATGCGGCAAGTAATTACCGCTAACGACGAAGACAGGTTAGAGATGAAGAATGAAGAGGATGAGAAAAGCTATTAATTACCGGCGCGTTAGTGCATTTTACATGGCCTGTATTCAATTCACTGAGGACGTCAAGCTCTTTGACTGCTTTCCTTGGCCCCACTCTTTGATCATATGTCAGGGTCATACATGAGAGTATTTTCGATGTTGGAGACCTTCAAAGAGGTGCAAACAGACCGGAAAGGACTCGGTCACCAACGTGCCCGAGGTCGCCGATATCTTCGAGGCTCTAATGGCTCTATGTCAACTTGCTACTTCCCACGAGCTTGGTCAGTGGTGGGGCAATACCCAGTAGTCTCCTGAAGCCCAACTCAAGTCCTGATCTGTCCACCCCAGTCGGCCTACAGGCTGCCATCACGGGAAATGTCATCGGAAGCTAACATCTCGCACTTCGAGGCAGACATGCGCGGCTTTCTAAACCTGCCGCCTCACTAGCTGGCCCTGTGCTGCCGCTCTACAGGTTGGAGTACGGATGGCAAGAATGTGAGGGAGAATGAATGCATGGCAGGTCCAGATATCAAGATCTCCGAGAGATATTACCACACATTGGCTGGTCCCTAGTTTGTTTGTGGTTGGCCACGAAGTTGTGTTTTGGAAGAACGAAGAGAAGTATCTTTGAGAGTTAGTAAACATGGAAAGAGCTGGCTCAAGGGCAGCCTCTTTTGCCCCCCTCCCAAACGTGGGAAATTGGTAAACATACCTACCAAATTGGACCAGAAACATGGAAGTTGAAGCTGGAAAGCCGCACTTGCGTCGGCCAGGGGCGGCTTCTCCCTAGCGCACGGTTGTTGCCCTGCAAATCGTCCACTAGTAATCCGTACCGGCGAAATTTGGCAGGGGTTCCATCTGGAATCCCTGTTTTGGTACGTACTGTACCTCTCTGCCACGCTACACGTACAGGATTGAGGTCGTGATCCAATCTAGGCCGCTTTCGGCTCCACGCATCTATTTTATCAAATAGGCTAACGGGCATCATGCCCACCCTCCTCCCCGCCTGGTCCACCTCCGCCGCGACTAGGAATTCGACCTCACTCTATCATTTGCTTTCTCAGTCGATTCCTCTCCCTACGCGTCGCGCGAGCTCTCTTCGAACCTCCTCCCAAGTCTACGACGGAATCCGCCGCGGTTGGAGCGGAACCGAGGGGAACCTCCCGCCACCACCAGTCACACCACGGCGAAGGAGGAGACGATTCGGAACGACCGACCGAACACCCCTTGAGTCGAGGTAAAAGCCCGTCTCTCTCTTTTCTTACCCTAGCACTTCACCCTTCCATACATGTCAACCACGTACTGCACATACGATGGCGTGATCCCCGACACGTCCCCCGCGAGAGGAAAAAGGGGGAACCTCATCAACCTCCAAATATCTGGATCACTGACCCACCCCAGGCATCGATCGGCCCAGGGACCCCATCCATCAGTCACATCCTTCCCGAGGCGCGCAACAACCAACCAATCGGCCACCGAAAACCCTCCTCCCTCCCCCCTCAAACCGCCCCCAACCCCCCTCCCCCCAACGGGAAACCGCCGCGACCGACACAGAACCCCCCCCCCAAAAAAAAAAAAAATGTGCCGAATGGTGACCTTCTCCGGCACCTGCCCCCGCTGCGCCCACGCCTTCACCTGGCACGACCTGACGCAGGAGCTCTCGTGCCTCGAGGCCAAGAACGCCGGCGTCTTCGGCGAGTGCCGCCGCGGCGCCCTGGTCGAGGCCCACAGCTTCGACCAGGAGTGCGACGCCTGCGCCGCCGACGAGGGCGTCGGCGGGCTGGACGACGACTACTACTACGACTACAACCACGAGTACGGGGAGACGACGGAGGGGGAGGGGAAGGAGAAAAAAGGGCAAGAAGCAGAGGACCATGTCGTCGATGACGACCTCCTTCTCGCCCGGGCACGGAAGGGGGAGAAGAAGAAGGCGGAGAAGGGCGGGGGCGGGAGCAAGGACGAGGCGCGCCGGAAGGGCATGGTCGACGCCGACAGGGAGACGGCCGACGACAGCCGGAGAAGGAAAAAGCAGCGCATATCGTGAGCGTCGAGTTTGAGCTGGTATATACGCCATTTATTTATACATGGGCGCATCTGAGAGCATCCTTTTGTTTTGGTGGGGGAGGGACGGCGCTTCTGGCGAAAGGGTCGGCGGGGTTTTTTTGCTTGCATTGCGAAGGAGATTTAATTTTTGTGACATACCACCACTACATATATGATATCACGACTTGGGAAGAAGCAGGAATGACATTGGAGTTGCATGATTCGGCCATCGAGTCTCAGGGGGTTTCTTTTTGCCATGAAGCAGCCATTGATCCACTGATAAATGTCGGGTATTGGGCAGCTGGGACAAGACCTTGGCCGAGAATTGAGTGCGAGGACCAAGACAACTCGCTTCTATTGTTTAACTGACTACTCTGTGTCCATATTCAACCTATTGTCTGTTCTAACGCTCGATCGCCTGCGATATCATGAGTTATAACAAGCTGTTGGTCTTCTTGCAAGACTCGGTGATAACCAATCCTAGCCGCTTGTAGGCCACCGCCCAAACTTCCAAACGTTTTCGCTTCCTTCGCTTCCTTCGCTCCCTTGGTCAACCACGAACATCAGCTGATGAAGTCGCCGGTGACACCTCCTCATCGAGATTGGCAGTCATGGCGACGAAGTGCTGCAGCACTTTGGGCACAGTGTAATCGAGGCTGCTCATCAATACCACCACGCCGGGATACCGATATATGACCATGCTGAAAAAGGACGCGATGATATCCTTGTCCACGGAGCCCGACCCGACAAGCTGGCCCCCAGACAAGAAGTCGGCTTCGTCCAGCAGCAACATCGCTTGCTAGGCGTGGACCACCCGCTGCAGGAACGCCTCCAGCCTTTCAAACAGGCCGTCCAAGCTGCCGAGCCCACTCAACCGCACCGGAACCAGCGGCACGCCCACCTGGTCAGCCAAAGCCAAAGCCATCGCCGTCTTATCTGTGCCTGGGCGGCCGCGCAGATGTAGAATCAGGGGGCCGTTGTGGCGAGAAACGGGGCGGCGTAGCTTCATGGTGCGATCCATGCTGATGGAAAGCATTTTCGACGCAACTTCATCAAGGTAAGGTCGGTCAAACGCGGGCATATCGCTTTTCTTGAAACTGGATACTATTTGGGAGACTTTGAGGGGAACTGTGGGTTGCTTGGTTAGAACGATATCTGTGTAGACGGAGGACGAGAACAGGTCGACTTACTCCACTCATGAGCGCCCCCTTGCAATCGGTAGCCGTAGATTTCCGGCGGAAGATGAGTGGTAATATGGAATATCAAGTTTGCCTGACTATTGGGGATCGATTTAGGGTAAGGATCGTACGGGTCCTTGACCTCTCGTCCGTATTCGTCGGGGTCGAAGTTGAACGCTTCGGCTTCCCCTTGAAACTGCCGGAAGGTGTGGTAGTCGATCATGAATCTGGACCCAGGAGGCTACCGCTGCCCATTTAGCTGGTGTACTTCCATATTGTGTAGGGGTGGAAGACGTACATGAAGAGCGCCCCGATTCGCGTCCCACCCGCTGTACTCCACTTGAACAGGGCGTCTCACCATGTCCCAGAATTTCTGGCCCCTGATGGCGAGCTGCTGCTTTATCTCATCAGAGGCGTATTTCAGGGGGTACGCGGGCAAGTCAGTTATGGGACATCTGTCCCTGGTGGCGGCTACTGTCAACACTTTCATGCGACGGCAAAGCTCCACCGAGCAATATGCCCACTGCCAACAAACAAGCTTGACTTCACCAGACTCGAGATCCTTGGACACCTTTCCCAGAATGACTGCCGAGTGATGGACCTCGCCCGCACTGTCGACAGATGAGATTACGAGGGGCTCATGTGGGCAGAAAAGGTACTCGAGCGTGTCGCGAGAGACCCATCGGCTCGCAAACTCCCGATCGCACAGGTCGAACTGGCCGCCAAAGACCGGTGCCAGGGCCAGATACCTTAGAAGGGCATCCACCTCATCCCGCCTCTTTCCTTGGCCGCCAGCGTCATTCAGCGCTTCGCGATGGTGGTAGAGGAACGTTTTGGAGTACAGTTGAGGCTCGCCGTACGAGTTACTCCCAATTGAGACTGGCGCGTGACTGCCAATTGAGACTGGCGGCCGGAGGAAAGGAGGATCCATCGAGGAACGACGGTACTTGGTCACTCGCTTGAAGGTCTTGTGCAAGCTTGTCGAGACGGGCATGATCTCCCCAAGTTGGTGTCTGGGAGCGGTGTTGTAGCTATAGCCACACAAGTGGTAGAAGACCACAAGAAACGCCCAGCCAGGGCGAGATTGCAGAAATTCGCTCACCGAGGTGATGGGCATGAGACCGGTGAGATGCTCGGCAGGCCTGGAACCTGTTTGGTGTATAACAGGCTGGGGGACGTCTTCGAATAGGAAATCGTTATGGGTGCAGCGCACGGCATGGATCTCCATGTAGCGGCTAGGATCCGCCTTGACAACCTCATGACGGACAACCTGCTTATTAGCTCCGGGTGAAGACCCCTCGGGCCCCGAAGACTTGGGAGACTCGGGAGACTCGGGAGACTCGGGAGGCTCGAGAGACTCGGGAGACTCGGGAGACTCGGGAGACACGGGGAGAGATATGGGGAGAGATTCGGGGACAAAGTCGCCCGGTAGGCCGGAAGCCATCTTTCTCTGTCAATCCAGGAAAGCGGAGTGTAAAGCTAGGTTGGTATAATAGAAGGCCAAACTACCTAGGCAAATGGTTATCGGGTACCCGTAGCGAGTGAGTGTAAAGAAGAAAAGGAAGAAGAGACGGACTGGAAGTGGGATGGGGGACTGGAAGTGGGATGGAGGACTCGACGTTGGCACTTGCCCTGCCGCATCGTCACCTCACAGATGTCCTGTTCGTAGGGAAGGTTTCACCAGCGCAAGATGGCAAGTCCGTCTGGTAGGAAGGGGACATCTAGGTACCTGCACAAGCTACCTAAGTAAGTTAGGTAGGTAGGTAGGTTCAAAATGACTTTTCTGCTTACTATTGCTACTGTACAAAAGCGGCAACTTCGTTCGGGCCAGTCCCCCCCCGCCGTCCAGCCGTCCAACCGTCCTTCCCGGTTTGGGAGTTACAATTCCCCTGAGTCGAAAGAGGAAAAAAGAAGCTTGGCAGAAGCGCTGTAGAAAAGGAAATTGCAAGAAAGTTCCATGTTGTCCCAGTCAAGATTGGGAGCCATACCACCACCAGCAACAGGGCCCACACGATGGGGTGGTCCTGCCGCCATGGTGAGTGGTCAGCTCCCAGCCGGACCTGTGAATCAATGCCTGCTATGCTAGACGGGATCAAAGCGCAGTCGACTGTCAGGATCTTTCGGCAAAGTCAAATGGAATGCACGAAAGGCACGGCAGCAGGGGGGCGGCCGGCCGAGGAGGGCTGGCCATCAGCATTGCTGAGCCGTGTCCACCCAGCATGATGGGGATGCCACATGTCCAAGAGGGTTCCAAGTCATGTCGACCCGTTCAGCAGTTCTAACGACAGTGCGTGTCCAGGGTTTCGTTTCATTCAAGAGCCGAGTACGTCGAGAGAGCAGAACTGGTCATGCAGGCAATGGCGAAGTCGCGCAAGTAGACAGACCAGTCCCTAAGACATGAAACCGATGGGGAACTCAAGTGACCAGCAGCTGGATGATATCATAGAATGTCGAGGTGTGCGAGCCTGGGGGGAAAAGAATGCGCAACAGCCGTATGTATGCGTAACAGCCGTGATCAGTGGTAGTACAGTCAGTCCCAGTATGCCGAAGTCCGGAAACGCCGCAAAGATTAATCATCGTGTGTATCCAGGTATCAAGGAAAGTTCGTGGGAGGAGTATCAAAGTGCAGCGCCAAGGCGCATCAGACACGGACGAGTCGTCAAGATGTCAAGATGCAACGAGATGGCACGATGTCAAGAGTGTCAAGGGGACGCGAGCAGGTCAAAAAGCGCATCGGGTTGCAATGGCAGATCCACGGTGGTCACACAGCAGACTACGCGGTTCCCGGTGGTTTGGCCGCATCACCTTGGCCTTGGGCTTGCTGAGAAGCCAGGGCTTGGTACCAAAGCGCCAGATAGGCCTGGTAGCCCCCGTCTGCGAAAGAGTTAGTCAATTGGACGTCCGGGTGTGCCAGACATCACGGGCAGGAAATCAACAGGCAAACTCACATGGAGCATAAGGATCAGCAGCTCCACCGGCGCCAGCGGGAGGGGCTTGGACAGCCGGAGGCAAATTCTGGGCAGCACTGCTATTGTTAGAGGGTTGGCCATAGTTGGGGCTGTCATAATCGCGGGGTTGCCCGCGGCCACGCCCACCCCCGAATCCACCACCGCCGCTATTCTTGGCTCGCTGTGTTGTAGGTAGGTTGTCAGTCTCTCGTCCGCCGCTCTGGAGTGCATGTAGATGCCATGTTCTACTCACCACTGCCTCGACCTTCTCCTCGATGACCTGCTTCGCACGGTTGATGGCGTCGCGGCTGCCAACGAGGCCAATCTCGCGCTCGACCTCGCCCGGCCCCGATGATTGAGAGACGTTGATCTTGCAACCGGTGTTGTTCTGTATCTCTCGAATGGTTTCGCCGCCCTTGCCAATGATCATGCCGACGGCCTCTGATGGGACGTAGATGGCGTCGTTGATCTTCTCCGGGCCGCCGCCGCCGCCGCCGCCACCACCACCACTACCAACTCCATCCCGCATATTGTCGTTCCTTGGCGGGCGGCCACCGCCGCCACCGCCACCGCCGCTACCGCCGCCGCCGCCGCCCTGGTTGGCATTCCGGCTATCACTATCGACAATCTCCAGAATCAGGTCCTTGGCATGCATCGCAGCGGGCTGGGGCCCAATCAGATTGACAGGGCGGAGGCCGTTGACGCTCTTGTTCTCGCCAACGATGTTGATGTGGCAGCCGCTCCGTTCCTGGAGATCGCGGATGGTCTCACCCCCGCGTCCAATGATTAGGCCGACGGTTCTGTCGGGAACCATGATCTGGAGGCAATCCTCGTCCTCCTTGACGGAAACGGATTCCGGAGCACGTGGATGCTCACGTCCGGTGTCCAGGCCTGCACGGGCAATCGCTCCCATGCCACTGTCCTCGATGATTCTATTAATCGCGGCTCTGGCCTCGGCGCGACGACCACGCGGGCCCGTGATCTTGCAAATGCGAAACTGGTCATTAGGGTTGGACGCCGGCACAAACTGGACTCGGCAGTGCGAGTCCTGTTCAACGCGCCGAAGATTCTCGCCTTGGCGACCAATGATGAGGCCCACGAGGCTCGACTCTATCTGCATCGTCTCGGTGTTGTCATCGCCGCCTCCACCTCTTGGCGGGGACCTCTCCCTCGGGGCACCGCTCACTCCTCGTGGCGAGAAACCTTGACGGCCACCTCGAATAGCAGGGGAGACGGAACGGTCGTTGCCATATTCACGAGGCTGGTGCCCACGGTCATCTCGGCGCTCGTCCCGGTAGGGGTTGAAGTTGTCTCGAAATCCGTCACGGCGAGGTGGTGGAGAGCGAGATCTCGAGCGCCCATATTGTCGGCTGTCGGGGCCACGGGGTTCCTTTGTTGGGGGGTACGGCGAGGAATGCTCATATGGTGTGGCCCCGTTCTTTGTCGCAAAGGCTTTTGCTTGCGCAATCGCATCGGCAATTGTCACGGTTCCCGAGTTCACAGGCTTGATAGAGCTCAGGTCAAAATTGCCGCTTGAAGAAGGAGCAGGGTATCCGTAAGCGCTGGGGCCGGCTTGATAGGGCGGTGCCTGAGTGGCATAGGGGTTGTGGGCTGCAGGAGGATAGCTGGCTGCAGGAGCCGCATGTCCGCCTTGAGAATGCGCGGGGGTCGAGTTGGGCGGTCGCTGTGCAGCTGATGGAGAAGTCAGATACCTATCACGGTGGGCTTGCCAGAAGCGCAAGTTAATTTACCTAAAGCGGCCAGGATAGACTCGAGATCCGGTGCTGGATTCGCCATTTTTTTCTTTGGCTTCTTCGCAGTGAGTGCCGGGTGTCGAGCAAGTGAACACAATTGCGGTCTTAAAAGGTCCTTTCTTTGGCAGGGCGAGAAAGGAAGGTAGGTAGGTAGTGGGGAGGAGCTCGAGGAATTTGCAAAGAACCTAATGAGGTCGGTCGAGGCCGAGGGCGGTGAATTATTCTGCCCAAGTGCCTACAGATGGAACTCAGGATTTGGTGACAATTGACCACGTTCAATTCAAGTGGAAGCTCAATAGTTGTTTTCACCTATTCGCGTAGAGGAACAAAGGCGCAGTCAAGAGGTCACGCGTCGCAGCTGTTATTTCTGGATGGCACGCCCAAATCGAGGTATTCATTTGCCGTTGCTCCAACAAGAACAGGTAAACCACCAACCTTGTCGTTACACAAAGTCTCCAGGATGGAGCTGCATGCAGATGATGTCGTAAGGGTAGGAAAAGAAAGCGCGATGGAAGGAAGGGGGGAGAGGAAGACAGAAATGTGGAAAGTTGGAAGAATTGGGTGGGAAAACTGGAAAGCAGTTAGTGTAGTGTTTGATCCAGGTTTCGGCAATTTGATTCGCCACATTGCTCGCCACATCCTATGCTCCATGCACGTGACCCCCAAACTTTCCTTCCCACACAGACCTTAGCATTCCGAACCTCTTCCCACCTTTCGCATCCCAGTGAAGACTTCAGAGTACTCGGTAATTCTCACCCATACTACGGAATAGACAGACACAAATTCTTCATCCTTGACATTCGCTCCGCCGACTTTGTTCAATCTGAGCAAAGAATTCGTACTGGGAACTGCACCAGCTTACCCTTCCCTTATGAATCCCGCAAGTGGATATGGCTCTGCTTCCGTCGCATTAATCTTACCCGGCCGCCCGGGTCGCAGCAGCGTCCGGGTATTTGACCTCTTACGGGAGTATCCATCCGAATTCCAGTGAATGTAGTATTGGACAGTCTTCGGGGCAGTCTTTTTATCAAGCGAGGAGCAGGAGCCCGTTGAGACACAGTACCGCCGCCTCCCTACCATCATGCAGGTAGTACTACTGCCTACTGGATCTCGATCATGTCGGCAAACGACCTCCCATGTCGGCGAATCGGGACCTCGCAGCTTAGCGGCGACCCTGTTGTACAAGTACCTGCCTCGAATATCAGTTGAGTTCACGAAGCGGGTGACACGAGGGGAGTTGGCAGCTCACCCACAACTGGTACCGTGTTTCCAGCACAAGCGATTCGATGGCAGCCATGGCGGTGCCGTCCAAGACGGGAATGGCGGGGATAACGGGAGGGAATGGAAGCATTATTGAAACCTAGATCATGCACTGTTGCCGTTTGAATATCTCCCGATGTCATTCGATGTCTAGCCAAGAGGGGCAGGGTTAGTAGCTGTTCGGTCAAGCCTATGATTGACCATCATGGATGTTATTGATTGTGTAGGGTTAGCGAAGCATTGTGTAGGACTCTTGGGTAGGTTTGCCTGCGGACTGCGTGTCTTCCTAATAGGGTATTGAAACGTTGATGAGTCCAAGTAGGTTATCAAGTGATAAATGTGAAAGAGAGGGTAAGACAGCGAGAAAGAGCCTTCGGCCCCCATCATAATCCCACTCGAGATAACGTCGAGGACAGCGGTGAACTCGGGCCTTCGCATCCCAGGGTCATGGAGCGTTACACCAGAGGGAGAAAGCGCTGCGTCCCCCTTGCCTAATATGGTCTCTACAAACGACCCTATAGGGGGCGGGTGCCGCAGTCTTCCAGATTGGCAAGGCGCACATCCGCGGCCACATGCAGCATCATCCACTCGACTTCCGTACTCCACCACCAAGATCTTTCTGTTTGACGCCTTTTTCTTCCCCTTTGGGGTCCCGGGTATTTCCATAGTTTTACTCAAAGAAGGCTTATTCCTCCGCTGCTCAGATATGTTCAAATACGACGGTCTCTCTCTTCCACCGTCTTTCCACGGCCATACATTCATTCATCTGGGCATCCCATCTCTCGCTATTCCTCATCCCTCCCACCGAAAACATGGAATTGGGGCTCACTCTCAGGTCTGCCCTTGCTGCTTGCCTGCTTGTCATCGCATCTGCCTCGGCTCGCAGCAATGTCCTTAGCTCCCTCACGCCTCTGTCTGGTATCAAGTACAAGCTCGTCAAGGCCAATCTCCCGCCAAATCCTGACAAGGTCACCCAAAACTACCAGGCAATTCAGGCCCACCGCGGATCTGGGACCAATTCCAGGTCTGCGGCGGCAGTTCTGGGGGAGCACCAGCGCCAGCTCAACGGCGGCGGCGGCGGCTACGAGAACATCACCTCCACCACCGCCTACGGCACCCAATATGCGATCCAGCTGATGTTCCATGAAACCCCCGTCAGTCTCATTCTCGACACGGGAAGCTCGGACACGTGGGTCGTCCAGGATGGCTTCCGCTGCCTTGACTACACTGGCCAGATCGTTGAACAAGCCAGCTGTGGCTTTGGACCGGCCCAGCCAACCGACTTTCAGTACGGCTCCATCCCGCAGGAGCACCTGTATATCCAGTACGGCGACGGCGAGACCGTGTCTGGGCAGATGGGCTACAACGACATCACGGTCGGCAACATCACGGTCAAGAAACAACAGGTCGGCCTCGCCAACACAACCTACTGGCGCGGCAACAACATGACCAGCGGGTTGGTGGGTCTTGCTTACCCGACCCTTACCAATGCCTATATCGGTAATGCTTCAGACCATGGGTGGGGGAATCAGGTACTCTATTCGCCTCTGTTCACCACCATGGTCAGTGATGGTTTGATCCCGCCCTACTTCAGCGTCGCCATCAACCGGAACTCGTCAGACGGCCTGCTTGGTTGGGGTGGCATCCCACCTGTGACCGGGCTCGACCTCTCCACCTCCGTAGCTCTGGATATCGTCATCGTACGTCGACGACCTCTTCCATGATCAGGCCAATCCACTAACCAAGTCTTCCCAGACCAACCTCATCAACAACCCAATCACGGCGTGGGAACACTCGTTCTACACAATCATCCCCGACGGGTTCAAATGGGGCTCGACTACAGATGTCTCAAAGTTCCCTTTCATCATCGACACGGGCACCACGCTGATGTATCTTCCTCCGCGTAGGTTCCCCGGATGGTATTGCCCCCATGGCCAAGTTCGAGAGCTGACCTCTGACTCCTCCGAAACAAAAGCCCTCGCGGCTGCAATCAATGCAGCCTTCAGGCCATCTGCCATATACCTCTGGATGTACGGGGCCTACTTCACGGCCTGCGACGCCCAAGCCCCGCCATTTGCGGTCATCCTCGACGGCTTGAGTTTCTATATCAACCCCGTCGATCTGATCTACCAGGGCATGGTGGATCCCGTCACCGGGCTCTGCATGACGGCCATAGCGAGTGGAGGAGCAGGGCCATACATCTTGGGTGACGTCTTCCTCCAGAACGTCCTCGCCGTGTTTGATGTCGGGAATGGACAGATGAGGTTCATAAGCCGTCAGTTCTACTGACATGGTTTCGGATGATGGGAGCGTCTGAGGACCTCCGAAATTTGATTCTTTCGTACTTTCGATCCTCTTGGTGTATGTTTCCCAAATCTGGGGCATGTTGGTGTGTTGTCACAACTTAGGGAGAGTTTCAACTTAGTAATCGCAGTCATGTAGAGAGACTTTTAATCATTTTCAAACCCTCGCGGCATGGTATAATCCGAGTTCTATCGCATCACGCCCTTGGCCCTTCCCAAGGAGTGGTTGAAGTGACAGCGACCGCAGTGATGATGATAGCAGACAGCGCCAATTGGATATGGCAAGAGTTCACTATACCGTAGTTTGTTCAGTGAGAAGAGCAGGCTAGAAGGTGGGTTATACGAAGATCACAAGTGGAAATAATCATGTTAACAGATATACAAGAGCGACACAGCCAGCAACATTGGCCAGACATAATAACCACTACAACAACGTGATGTCTGTCATCCAGACAAAAAAGAAGACTGGGGGAAATCAAAGGACAAAAAGGATTATCGCAGCTTATGCTGCAAAAGATCAAAGTTCAGGGACCATCCGCGATTCGAACGCGGGGCCTCTCGCAATTTGAGAACCCAAAGCGAGAATCATACCACTAGACCAATGGTCCGACTGATTTATAGCTCCGTCGGCTAAATGGGTACATGTTGTGCGCCGGTGCCACCTGTGCCGCACAGACCTGGCACATGCATGCGCAGCAATTCTCATCGAGAATGAAGATGCAAAAATGAAAGCGAAACAGAAGGTCGAAACGAAACACCAGTTGGGAAACAGCATACCTCTCTAATCTTCAGTATAACCTAACCTCGGATTTCTGTAAATAGCTTACTGTCTGCGGCACCAAGGTTACCTATCTAGACCTCCGTTTGCTCACTTTTGATTATTTGCCTCTGGTTGTATCCCACCCATTGACAGACGACCTGCCATGATGGCGATGTCATACACTCCCCGAAATCATCACGATGACTGCGGACCTAGTAATCATTCAGGAACTGCGGAAATACTTGAGGTTACTCAGTTGCTAGAGGCAGCCGATATCCCATGCTGCATCGTGGGTGTGAAGGCATTGCGCTACTTTTGGTGCTGGACGAGTAGACGAGGTTTGTAACCTGCCGCTACTACACTGTCATTCTAATTGCTGACTTGGAGGAAGGAATGGGATGTGTGCGTCCCGGATGAGCAGCTGGATGCTGCGTGTCACCTATTCGAGACTGCACCTCTCAACACAAGATTCGAGCGTGTAGCCTCCCCTGACCCATATCTTCTATCGCTGCGCTACCGGTTTCCAACTTTCAAATTGAAGGGCGTTATTTTCTATTTCGTCCTGGCTCCCTCATCGGATTGCTTTTGTGATCCACGGCCTCAGTTCTGCGAGCGCAGCCACATGGGCTTACCGTATCCCAAGGACGTCTACTTCGCCCGCAGCCTGCTCGTCCTACAGAATGATCCCGATCTGGCAGATTTTGTCGACGCCCATAACTCGACCATGGAGTGGGGGGAGAACAATCTCAACTTCCCCGAGTTACAGGCCCAGGGAGTAGAGTATGCCGTTCGCAAGAAAAGAACAAGCAGCTTGTGGCCGATTCTAAGTTTCCCTATTCATTGAATGTCAATCGCGACTTTGCAGTCATGTGGAGACGCGTGGTAGAAGGAAAGGAAGGCAGGATTGAACCTTTGAAGTAGGGACGATACATTACACGTTGGCGATCGAAAGCCCGACCAGTGGATCCCAGACACCATGACCCCAAAGGACGGAATGTGATTAGAGACCATGTTTGAGTTTTTCATTCATTTATTTTTCTATGGTTGGATTTTTGATCACCGTTGACGATGCTGAATCACGAATATCGGGTCCATGGGCTGGCAATCGGGAGAAGCGAATTTGATAGAGGGGCATGACGAATTGATTCAGAGCGAAGCAATTATTACATCATGATTGCGATGTGCGAAAACGGGAATACACACATGCCCCTTCCCGTCCCGGGCATCGGGGAAGAAGCCGAATACCTCATTTCAACCGTTTATCGCAATTGGAAGGGAAATCTCAAGATGAGCGCAAACGATCACATTCACCTGGACCCGGCCCAGCGCAAGCCCCATTTGAAGGACCAACCAACCACGTCCTCTGCGCCGGCGTCACTGCCTCTGGGGAAGCAACATAGCCATCCGCGGGGATCGACGGGCGACGAGGATGCAATCGTTTTCTTCATCGGCAACGCCACCACCGTCCTGGAATGGAATGGGGTCCGAATCCTCACAGACCCGAACTTCCTGCACGCCGGCGACCACGTCCACCTGGGGCCGGGCGTCTCGGGCAAGCGGCTGAAGAGCCCGGCCGTCGACTTGCATGAGCTGCCGCCACTCGACTGCATCTTGCTCTCGCACTACCACGAGGACCACTTTGACAGGATGGTCGAGGGCTCTCTGAGCCGCGACTTCCCCATCATCACCACGCCCCACGCCAAGAAGTGCCTGACCTCGGACAGAAATGAGGATGACCCATTCACCTCGGTGCGGGCCCTGGACTTCTTCCAGAGCGTGATGCTCTATGTCGACGGAACTGACAGCGGCAGCAGCGATGGCAAGGCCGCCAAGACACCTGTCATCAAGGTCACCGCCACGCCGGGCAAGCACGTTCCCCCGGGCCTACTCTCCATGGCCAACGACCTCCTGCACGCCGTACCACCAACAAACGGATATCTTTTGGAGTTGGGCTACAGCCCCTCCCCGCCTCCAGCACGGCCCACCGCAGCACCTGAGGTCCCCACGGCCGTGGCGGCGGAATCCTCCAGGCCAGCCGGGGCTGACGACGCAGAGCAGTTGAGCCCCGACGGCTACCGCATCTACATCTCGGGTGACACGCTGTTCGTGGACGAGCTGAGGGAGATACCCGAGCGCCTGGGCCGGGGCCGCATCGACCTGATGCTGGTGCACCTAGGCGGCACCACCATCCCCAGCCCGTCGGCGCCGCTGGTCATGGTCACCATGGATGCCGAGCAGGGGCTGAAACTGATGCGTCTTATGGACCCGGATGTGACGGTGCCGATCCACTTTGACGACTATGACCTGTTCCTGTCGCCGCTTTCGGACTTCAAGGCCGGGGTTTCGGAGGAGGGGTGGGATGGCCGGGTGGTCTATCTGGATCGGGGGGAGCAGTATCGGTTCAAGGTCAGGGAGTGAAATGCTTAATGCTTACTGTTCGGCATCTTTGAGTCTGTCTGTACGTGCGTCTGGCTGTCCACGTGCGTCAGGCTCTCCTTGTCTCTTGCCTCTTTCCCCTTTAAGATTCCCGTTCTCCCCAACTTAAGAACCCGCCACAACGCACTCTGCGACTACCCCTTCCATGTCATGTTTTTTCCATAATCAGGTGCCCTAGGTAGCTTGGAGCATAATTATGTCTTGGTTCAAAGTTTTACTGCATCTTTCGGTATCTGACTTCTAGCTTGGTGACAGAGTTAGGGTTGATTAATTATCTTCAAGGTTTGCAAATCTGGACCGAGAAAAGGATGAAAAAAAGGTTCACCGAACATTTTGAATTGCGAGTATTGAACCCTATCGGCAGTGAGTCGCATATAAATACATGCTCTCCTACTTCTCTTCTCCCGCACTTCTTTTCTCCTAAACATCTCTTCTGTTCCCAATCACCTCATCCTGTCCTTGGACCACCTGACTGTAAAACCGGAATACCCACGTCTGCCTCCTATTTTGATTCCATTCCCACTTCCGTGGAGGACACATCGCCTCCTCTTGGAATGACTAGCAGCATCATGCCTCTAGCGGCTCGTTGGGATCCAGCGGAGGTCTTCGGACTCCGGAACCCGGCGGTCAAGGAGTGGACTTGCAAAGGTCTCCATCTTGGCCATGGGCTTCGGTGCGATAGACTCTTTACCACACACGATACTTCCCAGATCCAAAAGACCATGGCGAACATGGTGGCCATCAGCCCTCGGCGGGCGTATGCGACTCCAAGCCAAATCAAAGAGCTCGCATATCTCACCTTCTGCTCCCTACATAGAAACCAAATTGAGGATGTGAGAAGGGTATGGGCAGAAGGCTTCTTGTTTCCCCAATCCACCTCGTCCACTCGCATTCCCCGGCTCCGGCTCCGCATCTCGGCTCTTAACAGGCCCAAGTCTGCCGCCGAGGAGGACGCCGTGCGCCTCATCCAGCGCGAAGAATGGGCCCTCAATATGCCGGACACCCACGTGGCCCGCAAGCACGATGAGAGTCCCAACCCCGATACGTTGGAGGCTGCACCCGGCTTCACATCGACCCCTGACATTGACATGTCATGGGGCTCCGAGGATGTCGCCGACCTCGAGACCGCCAACAGCGCCGCCCCTGCCGCAGAGGAGCGACCTGCCACAACCACCGCGGCGCAGCAGCAGCAGCAGGCCAAGGACGTGGAAGACAAGGACGAGGCGGACATGATGGCGGAGAAGCTGCGCTTCTTGTTCGACAAGATCGAGCGGCAGCTCGAAGAGAGCGCTGCGTGGGCCAAACTGGAGGGGCCGCTGGAGACCGAGAACGGCCAGCTGCGCGAGGAGACCGAGAAGCTGCGCACCGAGGCCGAGGGGCTGCGCGCCGAGAACGAGCGACTGTGCAACGAGGCCGACTGGCGGTCCTCGGACGAGGAGGCCGCGGCGGCGTCCCTGAGCCAGGCAGGCGCCGAGGCGTCGGAGCTGCGCGAGGAGAACGAGCGGCTGCGCGGCGAGTCGGACGAGCTGCACGCCGAGAACGAGAGGCTGCGCATCGGGGCCGACTGCCTGCGCGCCGCGAACGAGAGGCTGCGCACCGAGGCCGACTGGCTGTGGGCGGGCGAGGAGGACGCGGCGGCGTCCCTGAGCGTGGCGACCGCCGAGGCAGCGCGCCTGCGCGCCGAGAACGAGACGCTGCGCGGAGAGTCCGAGCGCCTGCGCGCCAGCCTCGAGCTCACCAACGACGAGCTGGTGGCGGAGCGCAAGGCGTGGTTCGACGCCGAGGTGAAGACGGCCGAGGCCCTGCTCGCGGCGGCCGCCGAGGCCGAGGGGCTGCGCGCAGAGAACGAGAGGACCCGCGCCAAGGCCGGGGAGCTCCACGCCGGGTTCGAGAGGTTCCGCGGCGAGGTCGAGGAGCTGCGCGCCGGGTTTGAGGCCGCCAACGGCGAGCTGGAGGAGGAGCTGCGCGCCGGGTTCCAGGCCGCCAGCAGTGAGCTGGAGGAGAAGCTGCGCGCCGAGACCGAGCTCCGGGACGCTGCGGAGGAGTCCCGGCGCGTGGCGCTCGTCGAGGCCGAGGGACTGCGCACCCTGAACGAGACGCTTCGCGCCGAGGCCGACGACCTGCGGGAGTACAATGAGGAGTTGTCGGCCAAGAATAGGCGCCTGGGCAAAGAGAGCAAGCGGATGCGCAAGGAGAACAAGAAGCTGCGCAAGGCGAGCGAGCGACTGCAGTTTGAGAGCGAGCGACTGCAGGATGAGGCCAACACGCAGCTCACAAGTCATGAGTGGACCGAGTGGGATTACATCTGCCAGAGGTATCGCGATGGTTGGGTCCATCTTGAGAGGATGTACCTGGAGCTCGCGGTGCCGAGGTGGCAGCCGCCACCGCACGGTGGGTGGTTTGGCTTTGGGGCAAGAGATGCTCCGGTCGGGTTCTGCGCCGCGAAGGCTGACTTCGGAATGGTCGTCTGGCCTGTAAAGTCGGGATGCAGGGAGGATGTCACTGTGTCTGACGTGGAAGAGTTCTTCCGGAATTATCTGCTACGAGAAGCCTGGAGCCAAGACGAACACTATGAGCGGCTGGACGAGGAGAGGCATCGCTGGCTGCCGGAGAACCTGGACGACATGTTTGGGGAGGAGATTTATGCAGCTGTCAAGGAGGAGGTCGATATGGTGAATGCGGCTCTGGGCAATATGAATTAGGATGCCACTCAGGTCCTTGGTCTTTGCTTTTTCTATTTTTCGTTTGGGTGGGAGTGATTTTTCCCAGGCACATTGTAATCAGTCCAAGATTGGGTCGCAAGAGACATGGTTACATGAAGTAATTGCAATTTACCTCTATGAATGACGAGTTAAATATTCTACAGGTCGGGTTCATCCCTTGCGGCATTAGGCCCAGACTCCAGGTCAGCTTCAAGCCAGCGTGACAGAATCCCCTTACCCCTTTCACCATGTGCCAGCAATTTCTGTCGACAAGAGAGGCTATTTCACTTCTATCTCATCAGTGTTGAACCCAAAAAAGATCCCGGAACTTAAGGTAACCCTCTCTCTTCTCTTCCACGGTCTCTGACATCTAATTAGCAGATAATTCAGCCACGTGCATGCCTGTTCAACTTCCTTTCCTCCCAGGACTGAACACTCAAGCGTTTCCCCCCTTTCACTAAAACTGACAATTGAGGATTGGTCTGAAGAGTAAGCTTTTACAACAAAGTTATGGCACATTGATTCTGACGAGACACAGCCATGTCCAATCCAGCATGGTGGCTGCCAATGTCCAAGGGTTAAAGAGGCTTGCTCCGGAGCAGTGACTGTTCTAACACGCTACATGGGTCATCGGGACCATCGCCAAGGAGCCGAATTTCGTGTACGACTGACTGGATGGATTCCCCCAGGGAGGTCACCGACTGGCACGTGCTCCGGCTTGAAGCGAGGGATTTCTGTGGGAGCATGGGAGGAGCATAAAAGGTATTCCCCCTCATGACGATGGAGTTTTGAAACCGGATCGGGTCCGAAGTGGGTTGAGATTACCTGCGATCATGGTTCCTCGCAACCTTGATGGGGGCGCTTTACCATGACTAAAGTACTCATCATGGAGTTCGCAACGGGCTTCAATTATTACTCCATAAATATGCAAACCCGCGGAGCTTTCCACATTTCCCCGCTAGCCCGGCATGCAGCTTGAAGATCAGCCCCAGCACGAGGTGAAATTATCTGAAAGGTTGGTTCTCATGGCCTCGGCAGCGCCGGACAAAGAGATGCTAGAAAATGGGAATGATGTATGTATCACGTCTTACTTGGCCCTCCGCGATCCAACAACTCCTAGATATACCGAGAAGCTGCATTCTGTTGGTTATTTTCCAACGTGTCTTAAACCATCTCATTACCTGATGCACGACTGGAGACCCCAGATTTTAGGGGGCAGCCACAAGTCGGGCAGGATCGTACTTTGGGTTGTATCAGAATAGGAGGTGCAATCTACTATAGTAAGGAGAGGACACGGCGATGCCCAAAGAATCCAGACCCCGGCCGTGGCTTTCGGGGTGCCTCATGTAAGCGCAGGAAGGGTCTAACCAAAGCTTAAATTATGTTTGCATGAGATCAATCGCGGGGCAACTCGGAAAGCAATCTAACACTCTCCGGCAGATTCGGGCAAATCCGTCCGGTTAAAGGACGCGGAAGCTTATACAACATCGGATCGGATGATTAGCTGAAATCTCCAAAAACCCCCCCGCTCACGAGCGAGACCGCAGTCGACAAGGCCAAGACGGACGTTACCGTCCCTCCCCCCCCCCGGCCTTCCCACTCGTCATGATGAAACAAATTAACACCCGGGGGAGGAGGCTCCACCGGCGCTACCCTGTGATTGCTGCCATGTCATGGACTCGTCCTCCGGCGGGCGTGTTGGATCATGGCCCCCGTGGATCCGTGGGAGGTAGGGATCGCGGAAGGTGCGGAACAATTACTTAACTGACGGGCAAGACGGACCTGCTCGCATGGATTGCCTTCCTAAACGTTCCCCCTAAACCTGTTACCCACAGTACACGACCTGTGAGCCACTGGGTGTGAACTTCTCAGAGCTTTAGTACGGCAATAAGAGGTTGGTGCTTGTAAGGGAGACCAACTAAACGGCAACGGCTAACATCCCTAACAGGATCAATATCAATGCGATACCTGCGTCATCTCATCGCCGCATGGGGACTCCTCAACTCTGGCTCCAACCAGGCCAGAGCACACCCCCTAGCGGCAGCCAGGTCAGAAGCACTGGCGCCGGTCCTGAACGTGGACTTCCCAGACCCGTCCATCCTTCAAGACTCGGACGGGAAATGGTACGCCTTCGCCACCAACGGGAACGGCAAGCAAGTCCAGGCAGCATCGGCACCGGCGCCCCAGGGCCCGTGGACGCTCCTGGACACGGACGTCATGCCGGACCCAGGCCCGTGGACGACGGGCAAAAACACGTGGGCCCCCGACGTCCGGAAGATCGCCGACGGCCGCTACGTGCTGTTCTATTCGGGCGAGTCGACGGCGGGGACGCCGGGGCAGCACTGCGTCGGCACGGCCACGTCGGGGTTCGTCCTCGGCCCGTACACTGCCAGCTCCCAGCCGCTGAGCTGTCCCCTGGACCAGGGAGGCGCCATCGACCCGGCTGGATACTTTGACGAGGCGACGGGCACGAGATGGGTCGTGTATAAAATGTGAGTGCGTCCCCATGAAAGAGTCCCCCCAAAACTCCAATTCTGACACAACCGATCCCCAGCGACGGCAACAACAAGGGCAACGGCGGGGACTGCAACAACGGCGTCGCGCCCATTCACAGCACGCCGATCATGCTGCAGCAGATGTCGGCCGACGACTGGGTGACGCCCGTGGGGTCGGCGACGCAGATCCTCGACCGCACCGACGCCGACGGCCCGCTCGTCGAGGCGCCGAGCCTCGCCCGCGCGCCCGACGGCACCTACGTGCTGCTGTACAGCTCGCACTGCTACTCGTCGGCCGAGTACGACGTCAAGTACGCCACCTCGGCCAGCATCGCCGGGCCGTACGAGCGCGGCGCGGCCCCGCTGATCGGGACGGGAGACCTCGGGGGCTTGGCTTCGCCCGGTGGCGCTACGAGTGCGCCGGGCGCGGACCGGTTGGTCTTTCATGCCAACTGTCCTGCGGGGAGGTGCATGTTTTACAGTGGGCTTTCCGCGTCAAAAGACAAGGTGTTGTTAAGCACCTGATGAGAGTGGGTTCGTCTGTTAGCCGACCGCCTTGTGGCTTAAAAAATATGAAGTAAAAAGATTGTGAATGGAACCAGTTGCGTGATTATATGCGCGTACCAAAAGTGGCGCGAAGAATGGAGTGCTCTTCGCTTATTACTGCCTGGAATTGGTTTAGAGGTTGATGGTAGCTAATCATAGCTAAGAAAGACGAGTGGTCCTGCATACAAGCATGTATTGAACGGGATGGCCCGCATGGGGAGTCCGCAGTGATGTCCAATTCTGGATCGTGGAGTCAAGAAGCATCAGGGGCCGGGCTGATTCCAGCGTGGCCTAGACCCTTTCCGAGTTTCGTGGCGCCTCGTATAAGCCGGCACGCCTGCGCTATCCACGCTTCCTCCCGGCATGTGGCGTCGGAGCGAGCTGTAGCGCAGCCAGGGCTGAGAATCTCGCCAGTTTTCTGTGGTGAATTTGTTGTGATATTGACGCAGCCAAGAACACCTATCGAGCTGAGCCTGCGATGTGACATGGCATGCTCGCAGGGGAAAACAACAAACAACTGATCCTGGGAGGAACAGGAAGCGTTGGGTGCTGGATTATAAGAACATGTCAACAGCCGGGAGACCTCAATCAAGATCAATAACTCTCAGGAGCACACCGAGAAGAGCATCAACTTGTGCCTCTTCAGTCTCGCACCATGATGTCGTCAGGCTTGAAATGGGGTGCGCTGCTATCAGCATGTCTCCTCACCGTTGGCGCAAATGCTTGCGCTGCTGACAAGTAAGTAGTAATTAGCAATGCCCCTATGGAATCCACCATACAGCCACTAACACCAATCCCAGCTGCTACCGCGCCCTCTTCCCATGCCCATCGCCCTCCGCCGTCTCGGTCGCGTCGGCCTTCTGCGCAACCGTCACGGCCAACGGCGTAACCGCCACCAATTTCCCGACGAGGGCAACGGCGGCCTGCGGCACCGCCCCCGCCAAGTACATCTCCGCCTGCAAGTGCGGCCCGACCTGCAGCGGGCCCGCTCCGACGCCGACGGCCACGTGCACCCCGACGGCCACCGCCGGCGTCGTCAACGGGGACTTTGAGTGCGGCCTCGCGCCCTGGACCGTCCAGCTGCCGGACTCGGCCGCGACAGATAGCATCGTGCCCACGGGGTACACCAGCGGGCACTCGTTCCAGATCGACTTCAACCCGCCATCGGTCGCGAACGACCAAGGGGTCAGCGCGCGCGTCCTCGCCGCGCCGGTTCCCGTCACGCCGGGTGTCACCTACCTGCTCAGCTTCGCGACCTGGTTCAAGCCCGGCTCCGAGGGCTTCGTCGGCGTCAAGATCAACGGCCTGCCGCACCAGACGGTCGACGCCGGCGACTTTGGCATGGACGTGTGGCACGTCAACAAGCTGGCGTGGACGGCGAAGGCGGGCGACACGGCGGCCGTCCCGGAGTTTGAGTTCCTGGTCGGGCCGCCCGCGACCGTCAGCCGCATCGACGCCGTGTCGTTCGTCGCGCTGGCGTCATGCGACGACGGGCCGTGGCCGGGGATCCTGCCCAACGGCGACTTTGAGTGCGGCGTCGGGTCCTGGACCGTCGAGGTGCCCGACCCGGCGGCGACGGCGGGCGTCGTGGAGGGCGGGGGGTTCATCTCGGGGAGGGTGTTTGAGGTCGACTTCCATTACCCGGCCGTGCATACCGAGCTGGGCGTCAGCGCGAGGGTCTGGAGTAAGCTGCTGCCCGTCACGCCGGGGTGGACGTACAAGCTCACGTTCTATACCTGGTTCAGCTCTGGTTCCGACGGGTTCGTTGGCGTCAGGATCAACGAGGGTGCTGCTGGCAAGACTGTCGATGCTCAGGACCATTACCCTTTGGGCGTCTATCACGCCAACGAGTTGCTCTGGACTGTACCTGCTGGGGTTACCACGGCGACTGTCAAGTTTGAGTTCCTGTTTGGTGCCACGAGTGTCAACAGGATCGATGGCATTACTTTTCAGCCTGTTTAAGGAAGAGTTGCCTCGCATAGTCAATGGAAATCCACAAGCGACTAGATATGTTTGATGATAAAACTTTTCAATACTACAATACCGGGGGCAATGTGTACCATTTCAAGAGGGATGAAAACGATAGGATCGCATTCTTCTGGAACTCGTCCAGTTGACGTCGTAAGTCTTTTTTGATGGGCATTTCTCCAAGGGGCATGCGCCATATGCTCCGTAGGCAGGCAGTCAGTGCATCACAGGTGGCAGAAATTGGCAACAGCCACTTGCTGTTGCTGTTGCTGTCTATCGCTACTGCCATCACTGTTCATTGCTATTGCCGTCGCTGTCTATCGCTATTGCTCTTGCTAGAAATAGCAAGAGCAAAGCACTAGCAATAGTAACAATAATAACACTAGCAGCAGCCTGCCTGCAGAGCAAATGGCACATGCCCGCAGAGAAATTCCCTTTTGGATAGCATGTGGGTGGGGGAACATCAAGCAATAACCTACCTAGGGTCACTATTCACATAGCAAACGATGTCTTCGCGAACATACATTTCAAACATCTCCCTCGCCATCTATGTTTGGTCGTCCAGATCTTTGGGGGGGGGGGGGGATTGGTTTTCTGAATCTCTTGATGCCACCGTATTCGAAAAACATGCAGTCCAAAGAGAGCTCCTCGCGAGCTGGCGTAGGGCATAACAACACTCAGCTAGACATGACCAAACAGCTGCATCCAAACAGCTGCAAGTAACTTTTGTCCAAAGACCACAGCAACCACGACGACCTTCTAGAAGCTGAATACCAAGGCGCCCCCATAAATTTCTCTACTCTGTCCTAATCGTCTCTGAGATTACCCCTAACCCTGTGATTCCGGGGCCGTATTGAGGGCGCTATGTTCGTTCATCAGCGGGGTCTGGTTGCCACGATGGATTCATCCAGGGCCTTCGTACCTGAGTTCCATAGAATCCGGTTATAGTAGTCCCAGGGGCTATGGTAAGCAACTTCGGAACGAGATCGCTCAGCGAACTTGGATATTGGGAGAAAAGACAGGATCTTCCTCGGTTCGTGAACATCTATATGTAGAAAAAGCCGAAATTGGTTTCAGTAGATTAAAAAATGCGACGAATGATATATCTGTGGACGGAATTTACTTACCTTACAGGACACTAACGCCCCTTCTTTAGCTTGCCAGATATCCCTTGAGATGGAAATATCGTAATACTGATAAACCTCGATGGCGTTGATTACCTCACCTCCGGGCCCATCAATGGAAAAATGGATGACGTTTTCGCAATAACGAGGCTTATGGCGTCCAAAAGTTTGATGTTCGACAGGGGATTCTTTGTTGTAGGAGAAGTCGATGCGATGTATTACGCCCCAGCACCTGGCGGAAATTCTGGTCAGATGCTGCAGGTAAATGCCGCGGGGACCCCGAAAGAAACCCAAACCAGGGGTTTATATCCGTCAACATAGTGATCGCGAGGGAGAAAGGAATTGTCGTTCAGGCACAGAGTCGAACCCGGAATGTCAGGATACCACATTGCCAAGTTTCTCAACTTGTCCTCGACCTGCGGCGCCCGTGTCGAGGACGTCATGCGCTGGCAAACGGCCAGGCTCACCATTTTGCACCCCTGTGAGGATTGATTAATGCCAGAGAACAATTGGAAGAGAACAATGAAAATGTCCCGTTACTGCTGCTTACATCAAAGCCTGCTTCCAGTGCGGCAACGCGGTCGGACAGAGCCAGACGCTTCGTTTTCGACGAGTCGTCCAGACATCCAAGCCAGCGAGATGTGCTGGCTCCCCCAGTTATGCACTGCAGGGCTTGGATACCCCGTAATCCTATGGCCAAGTTGAACCCTCTTACGTCGGAGAGGGCTAATGAACGTTCGTTTACGGCCTGGTACCCCAACTGAACGGTTTCTCCGGTAACCGTGGTAAGTTTTATTCCGGCAATGTACTCCAAATCTCCAACACGAACAGATGAAGCCGAAAACTGCGCCAGATTATCTGGGACGGATACGCGTTGCTTATGGAGGAGGCGGCAACCTTCCTCGAACCGGTAAAAAATATTGGCAGGTTCCTCCCTCAAATCACCACCCGCCTGCGACCACGGGGATATTTCAAAGTCTATCAGACATGGTGAAGATGACTCGGGCAACGGATTCCAACGGAGACTTAGGATGTCCAGGAGCTTCAGGATCAAGGTCCAAATCCGTTTTCTGTTTTGAAGGCCGGGACCGATATGCGCATCATTCGTTCGATGGTATAGCCATCGCCAGTCTCGAGCTCGTTCGCCATCCCACGCTTCAAAGAGCCACGAACGGTCAAAACCTCCCCTGAATCTAGAGCCCCAGAATTGCTGGCTGTGGAATGTCGGCCAAAACGCCCTGGAGGCAAGACGAGCATTCAAGACGTCCGTTGTCGGCAGGTATGTGGCAATCTCTGCGCAAAAGCTCTTCAGGAAGCGCGCTGAAACACTCACCTCGGATTACCGGTATGATGAAAGCTGGACACGTCGTACTCGGCCATGGTGCTTGTGGTTCCTCCGTAGTAGTCGTTCAACATCTGGAATATCATAGGGATCCGAGCTGAAAACACGGTCGGGTTCGGTGTACTCTCGGTCCCCAAAGCGATCGCCCGGCGGGAAGTGATGTCCAGCGTCTATAAAGCTCCGCCCTCCGTAATCGTGGCCCCAGCTGATGCTATCTCCGTGCAATGGGAACGGGAGGGAGTTGCAAACATCAAATAATCTGATGCGGGGCACCTTTCCAGGGCGAACGGCCTTCTCAAGGAGAGACCAACAAGCTTCGTGAAAGAGGAAGCCATGGCGACTTATAACCTCACGTTGGGCCATGGCGCTGAATTGATGTGGGTTGTTATAGCCCGGATCGTTCCATCGACCGTTGGAGTCGACAGGAGCAATATATTCACCCCGTCTCAGGTCATTGTACAGGCCAACACCAGTAAGTACAACTCCTTCGGGACTGGAATACACTGAGTCGGGTCAGCTTGGGCCGCTGCAAAACATCGCCAGTGCACTTACGGCCACGGAACTGATTCATCCAAGAAACAAAACCTGGCCCATCAAGAATACGCCACCCGCATAGCGTGCAGGCATAGACCCTGGGGCTCATCTTTGTACCGAGAGCAGGGAATTGCGGAGAGAATAGCAGATGGCTGACAGAAGCAAAATGGAGGGAGAAAATGGAGGGGGCTGGGATGATGCTGCACCCGGACTATTATACTCGGAAAGCCGCACAAGGTTTGGCGTTAAAGTTTGCTAGTTCCGAGCGTAAGTTCTGAGAGTTTGTCGGGTAACTACCTAGGTTCTGGATAAAGTAGGATTGAACCTTCGTCAAGCCCTAACGCCTCTGTGCTGTCAAGAAAGGACAGCTCAGTGCGATGCCTTGTTGACCAATTCCATCAGGAGACGATCAATATCGCCTTCGTCCTCCTTAAATTCATACGGCCTACCCCCGGTATTGCCATAGTCCTCTAGCAGCCGCTCGCCCGGCGCCAACTCGTAGAAGCGTGAATGGCAGCCAACGGTGACGATGGCGTACATCATCTCGGTAGTGTTGTCATACGCAGACTGAGAATCCCGAACCACCGTCGTGTAGTTGGTGGCCTCTTCGACCGCATCCTTCCAGACCCTATCCGAACCCGTGTCGCCGATAACCTCGACGAGGACCACTTTCTTCTTCAACAGGCCGTTCCTGATACTCCGGATGGTAAGTAAGGTCGGCATTGGTCGTGACAGTATTGGCCCAGTTCCGCGGCTGCAGCTCATTGCCGTACCCGCCCTCGACTGTAAAGTACAGAGGGAGGATGTTGTTCCACATCATGTCGACGTTGGCTTCCTCCAGGTTGGGCTTCAGTTGGCCGTAGTAGTACTGAACGGCCTCGAGGTGCATATACTATCTTAGAAGTCAGTATTGATCGCTCCGGAATTGAACGGCAAGCTTACGCCGATTTGCGGTGCCATCTTGCCCGTATTTGGAGCCAGCGAGAATGGATGCAACTCTGTGGACTGTGAAATGGGGATAAATTGCAATGGGTAGGCTTGGTAGGGTTGCGTAGTCAGTTGTTTAAATAGTTTTCAGAGGGACTTCCATCACCTTCACCTTCACACGTAAGGAGGTGGAATAGAATAACACACAAACCATCACACAAACCATCATAGTGAATATACGCTGGCCATACGATGTGTCATAGAAAAGGAGAAGTGAATCGCCGTCAAGCCCTCATCTCCAATCATCTCATGAGACAAATTGACTGTCCATTCCAAGCGTTCTCTGCTTCTAGGGTTTAGCGCACCTCCCAATGTCCCCAAGTGGCTTTCAAGATGAAACTACCCCAATCATTGGGCAAATTTTGTCCCTCAAGTCATGAGATAGTCAAGAAGATGGTGAGATTAGGGTGTCAGTTCAAAAGGTAGAAGACTCTGGAAAGAAACCGGTGCAAGACTTGATATTATTATGGGGTATTGCCATGAATATACACCTATCGCTCGCAAATCCCAACAACTCCTTGCTTTATATTCCGGATCTCGAATTGAACCCATTTCCCTCGCATTCACATCAACGGTCATGACCAAGATGTTCGGCAACCTAGCCATGAGCCATGTAACCAGTGGGTCTGTACCAACATCCCCAACCAAGGCAGCTACCAGTGCTGCTCATAACCCAACCATTACTGCTCAAACACGCACCCACGAGACCCCGCTCATCCCCCCCGCCCCCCATCAGCCCCTCTCAGTCGGCAGCTCCGAAACATACTGCTGGGGCCCCGGCAACTCCGCATGCGACTGCTTCGTCCACAGCTCCGTAGGAGCAGCCGGGCCCGGCGGCAGGTGACCGGCATAATATCCCTTCCCGTCATCCGGCACCGCCGCACCAACGGGCCCGCGCCGCGTCCTCGCCCGACGCACGAAGAACGCCACGCCGACGAGGACGAGGATGGCGCCGATGGCCGCGCCGATGCCGATCCCCGCCTTGGCGCCCGCCGACAGGCCTCCTCCTCCGCCCCCGCCACCGCTGCCGTTTGATTCCTGGGCCGGCGCCGTGGGGCCCCCCGTCGAGGAGGGCCCCGTCGTCGATTCTGTGGGTGACGACTTTGACGACGGCGACGATGACGGCGACGACGATGCGAAATCGGTCGACTGCCATCGGATCTCGAGCCCGTAGGCGTTCACGCCCGCGCCTGATTTCGTCGCCGTGACGTAGTGGCCGGGCGCGCTGCTGGTGTATATCACTTCGACGGTGCCGGGGTAATCGCGGGTGCAGGGGTCCGTATAGTACCATGGCCACTGGGACCCTTTCTGGCATGCGTAGCCGCTTGGGAAGGGGGATTGTGCGCGTTAGCTTGGCGAGAGGAGAGGGGCGGTGTGGTTCTTGGGGGGGGGGGGGGGGGGGGGGGGCGGGCCCCCCCCCCCCCCCCGGGGCCCACACCCTGGGTTTTATAACGTAAAAAGACCCGACGGAGAAGTTGTGGGGCCGGGCGGGACAGGC